ACACGTCACTTTCAGAGATAACATATGCAGACATTCAGCAGCCAGGATTAGTCACAGTGCTGCCTTGTTAACATCTTCCAACACTGTACGCTTACATCCCTTGACCAAAAACCCCAAGCAAGGCATACGATCAGCTTGCATCTCTGTCCCTTATCTCTGTCTGTGGTTTGCTGAGCACATTCCACAAACGAGCCAGTGCACGAACAAACAGAATACTCTATGATACTGTCCCTGCACTACATCTATATCACCACTGACATGTTAAGGAGTGAACTGTGGAAGTTTGTCTATTGTTTAAGGATATTTTTTTTCTACAGACTGCTAAACAACATCACATAAACATCTCATCATCCCAGCAAAAATAAAACAAACGTGTTCATGGTCCACAAGACAACATTGACAATATCTCACTACCCCATGCATCCAGCCTATATGGCATTCACCCCTCCAACCTTAGCAGGACAGAATTGCTTTGCTAATGAAGCAGTTTTTTGGATCTCTGATCTGCATGACATCTGATCGCTGCTTTCACATGATCGCTGGCAACGTGGCACGACGTTTGTGTTCAGCTTACCTTGGCTGACTTGCCCTAACTGCTGCCAACGAACTTATTTTTGGGAGGCGGAAAATGGGGAGTTTGCGAGCGCTCCCAGCACAGCTGCCCTCATGTCCTCAGAGAGGAAAGCGACTCCAACGCTGTGCAACTCGGAAAGCCTCAGCTTGTCTGCTCAGCTGCTGCAGCTCACTGGGGCTGCTCCCATTGGTTACTCATCACCGGCCAGCCTCCTTCTTCCTCTCCTCCCTTCTGCTTTCTTAGCTTTCTTCTTCTTTTTTTTGTCCGCCTTTTATTCCCCTTTTTCCTCCTCTTCTTCTTCTTCTTCTTCTCCTCCTAAGACTCTCTTGATGCTCGGCATAGGTTGGGGATTTGCAGCAGGCGCAGAGCACAGAGAAGCAAGCCCTCCATTCCGTCTAGAAAAGAGCAGCCGCGGCGCTGTCCAGCATTTCAGGAGGGTAGGCGCACCTTCCAGGTCCTGTGCATGACAAATGACAGCCGAGCTCAGGGATAATTGTGAGGGGGCTGCCTGCAAATATATCTATAAAAAAGGGGATGTTGTACTGGCAGATGAGCCGGAGGTGTACCACAGTGAGGAGATGCGAGGAGGTGGAGGCACATGTGTGACAAGATGCTAATATGTTGTTATATTCTTCCTGTTCATCACGGACTGCTAAGCATCCAGCTGCTGGCTCATCCATCAGTGGTGCCGTCCCATGCTGCATGGAAGATCGGGGCTGACAAATGTCTTTTTTTTTTTTTTCTTCCATCCTTCGACCCTGAATTGATGAACTGCTTGCAGCAAGTGCCTTAGCTTGTAAATTGCTTTCCAATAAAAACCATTATTAAAAAAAAAAAAAAAGGTAGAAGGGCTAACATAATGGCAAAGCTAATTAAGTGTCATGTTACAGGCGCAGGCTTATTTACACACAATGAACCCATGCTGTGCAAGCCTTGACCCAGAATGAGATATTGTTGTACAGTGCGAGTTTAGATGACGCCTAATGTGTTCCACAAAGTCCAGAATAGGGTGCATGTTGTGTCTGTTTTTCTGCAGGGATTTTATTTCTCTAGATTTGCAATTCTCAGCACTTCCTCCCTTCCTCAGCTAATTGCTAGATCTCTATGAACCATATGAGCTGGCGTGTTTTGCTGTATACAAGCATAAACCTTTTGCATGGATGGGACGTCGCCGCTTATCAGGTACATTTTGCATGGACTGTGACAGGGACAAGCTGACACAAAGCTCAGCCTGGAATTGTAACACTTTTTTTTTGTGCTACTGAATAGCATAGAAATTGAGTACACATAGCAACAGCAAAAGGTTGCAATGGTATAGCTATTATCTACTCGTGCTGAGATGTTTTAATTTAAATTGTATCCATATTGCTAAGGAGAGCAATTTGTCCAGGTGCATTCTAAAAGGGTTTAACCACAGAAGTCATACTGTCTCTATGTGAAGTATTCATATTATTGTTGCTATTGATTCATTAAATTTCCATTAAATATATTTAACAGTTATGAGATAAAGCCTATATCCAGGTTTAAAAAAAAACTACCCTTGCAGTTGGGCTGCACCTGCATGGCAAGGGTTAACTGCTGATTTTTGTCTAGGGGTCCTTTGTAAAGGACTTTTACTTACCCAACGTCTCCAAGGCAGGAACCAGTAAACTCTTTACCCCTGATACCTACTGTTGTCATCAAATACAATGCAAAACCCATAGCACCGCATTATACAGTACACAAGGACACTAAAGGGGCAGTCCACAATAAGGAGCATAGGGAAAAGAGATGAGCATTGACTGTTTGGGGAGCTGGGATCAGGTAAGTAAAAGTCCTCTTCATGTCTAGACATAAACAAGCAGTTAACCTTTGCAGTGTAGGGGTAGCTCCACTACAAGGTTAGTTTTGTTCCTCCAGTGATAGGCTTTAATTTGGATTATTTATATGCATTACTGTAACTTTAACATGTAATAGCATATATATAGTTATATGAAGCACCAGTGAATAAAGTACCAAAGGAAAATATGCAAATAAATAAATGCTGTTTGAGGGAATGTGGAGGCAGGAGCTTACTATAAAGCAATTGTGTCATGGTAAAGAATAACTATACTGTATAAAGCCAGAAGGAAAGAGTTAACCTTAGGATATTGATAATGGATATGTTGTTGAAAGGGGATATGTTTACAGATAATGATGGACTATAATTGGTTACAGGTAAGGATGAGAAGCACAAAGAGACGAGTTTGCCATCTTTTTTGGCACATGCATATTTATTGCATAGCTTTTTATTAAACAACTTATAATATAAAGTGTAAGACGACCCCGTATGTAGGCGATTGTATGCTTTATTAAAAAAATACCGATCAGCTTCTGAACACAGGCATGTTTCTGTTTGGATTATTTCATGAATATCAACTTTTTTTTGTTTTATAGACCTTCAGAATAGCAGTCAGTGTCAAAGCAAGTGAACTAACTATAATTATATATGTTTATGTGTATGTAGAGAATACTTTGTTTCAAGGTCACTGGTTATACCTTCTCAGCAAGAGGTGGACTGATTCACAATAACATCTAGAGATACCAGTTATTACAGTATGTGAGTTAATTTGTTCTGTAGTTTTTTGTTTTTACTAAAGAAATCAGATTATTAACATAATTATAGTTTTGGCAAATATAATAGTTATCTTTTGGCAAATATTAACCCCCTTCCACCCCACCCACCACCCTCTAACCCAGTGGTGCACAACATGCAGGCTGCATGTGGCCATCTGACTTTTTGTGTGCAGCCTGCCATTTGTTGAGCTGAGTTCATCACCTGCTGGGACCCGAATGATCGCAGAGCAGCAGCGGGGTGCGAGGCACTGAAACACTCTGTAGTTTTCAGCACCTGGCACTGAAATAGTCAGTACTGTCATGTGGCTACCAAAGCTAGCCCTGGCCCTTGCTGTCATCCTGCCGGCAGTCCCCCAGGCCAGTCGGCCCCTGCCACCAGCAGTGCCTTTGCTCCTGTCTGCCACTCTGGGCGAAACGGGTAGCTGCTGTGGGCCCCTTCAAATTATGGGGTCCAGGGCAGTTGACCCTTTGCCCTATATTAAAGACTGCCCTGGCAATGATCTCCACCATCAAACAGAAGCCATCTCTTCGCTCATTCTTTTTTTCTCTTTTTGTTTTTGCATTAAAAAAACTTTATTGTAAAGTCTGGACCTTGCTGGGGAGAGAGAGGGGAGAGAGTGTGTGGTTAGATAAGTAGCTTCCAAAAGCTGGGGGTTAAATGTCACTGCCACTGACCAGCAATGCAGGAGGGATTAACAAACACTGCAACTGACCAGCAATGTAGGGAGCAGGAGGTAAAAACACCACCATTGAAAAATGGGGGGGGGGGTTGAAAACACTGCCACTGATCACCAATGCTGAGGGAGTTAAAAATAACACTGCCACTTACACCAAAGTGGAATTTATTGTTGTGGTCTATGACACCAGTGATGTGGGTTATGATTGCAGCCATTGACACCAATGTTGGTAGTTATTATTGCAGCCACTGACACCAATGTTGCGGGATATTATTGTGACAACTGACATCAATGTAGGGGGATATTCTTGATCCCACTAGCATTAACACAGGGGGTTATTATTGTGACCACTGAAACCAATGCTGGGGTTATTATTAATCCAACTGACGTCAACACAGGGGTTATTATTGTGACCACTGACATCAATACTGGGGGTTATTATTGTGGCCACTGGTACAGACCCCCAGCAAAAGTGGACGGCCCATGTGTGGTTGGGCAAGCCGAGATCACATAACAGAATGCTTATTCATGAGAAACCGGGCTTGATTGGTCTGTCCTGCCGTCCAGGCAGGATGGAAAAGGGAGAGCTTCAAAAGTAAGAGTCAGTTTTAAAAATGAAGGACAGCATTTTAATGTACAATCAGAGCTGTAATGCATATGTGTTTTTTTTTCTTAAATGGCATTAAAGATTAACTAACCTTATATATGTAGCTACATAGGAATTGGTATATATTTGCTTTTCTATCTGTGGAAGGTAAATAACATATTTTCCTAAAGATTCCTAAAATAGTCTTACCTGCAAAGTTGGCTCTATACTAATTATAGTCTAATTATTTTTATTTTAAAATGGACATAAATACCTTTTTTCTCCTTTTTTGTAAGGTGAAATATTTCTTTCTCTCCCTTTACAGCCTTTCTAGGCCAGTGGGCAAGGCAGCAGCATTCTAACATCACATAGGGGTCTATTCACGAAGCTGCCGAAGGATCTGGCCGTAGCTTCGGCCGATCCTTCGGCTAGCTTCGGCTCCAGGACCCCTTTGGTTCAGTAGAACCGAAGGGGTGCTGTACGGGCTATTCACAATAGCCCGTACAGCTCCCGATCAGGGCCGAGTGGCTCAGCCGAGCCGAACGCATATGCATCGGCTCGGCTGAGCCGTGCTGAAAGCCGAAGCTGGCCCAGGGGCCGGCCGTTGGCTGGCCGCTCGGCCTGCTTCTGACAGCTGGGCGGAGCCAGCCGTGATCTTATGGCTGTCTCCGGCCACTTGCAGTGACATCAGCGTCCCTGGTTATCTGCTAACCAGGGACACTGATCTCCAAACAGCAAACTCTCCCTGGCGCCCCGGTAGTCAACTATCTGCGGCATTCGGCTATTCACTCACTGCTGTTCGGGATCTTTTAGAATAGCCCGAACAGCAGTGAGAAGCCTGCCGGAGGTTCGGCTCAGCCGATCCAGATGTTGGATCGGCTGAGTCGAACTCCTTCTGCACTTCGGGTCGGCTGAACATGCTGAGCATGTTCGGCCGACCCGAAGCCACACGAAGCAAGCCGATGTACGGCTGATTTCAGCCGATGTACGGCTGAAATTAGCCGTACCAGCCTGAAGTGAATAGCGGAACAGTGTTCGGCTCACTTCACTTCAGATCGGTCATTCACTCGGCTGCCCTCGGCAGCTTCGTGAATAGACCCCATAGTGTTATGTGTCTCCTACTACATTTCCCATAGGGCCTCTGTGATGATGAGGCTGAGGCTCTATCATCATGCAGGCTTGTGGTTCAGTGGTGGTTGTGCAGACTAAACGGTGACAATGCTATGTATGTTATGCAATGCTACAGAAAATGTAAATGGATGGCTGCATACAGTATTGTCACCCTTATACAGGAAGTGCTTTATGATATGCTTGCCAGTGAGGCAATGTTAGCCATTGCCTTATGCTACTTAAAGCTACAGTGCTTTCTTATTTACATTACTTAAAGAGATC